ATATATTTAGGTCGCTTTATTTAATTTTAAACTTATTCTTTGTCTGGTTTAGTTGCGCTATTACACCGATAGATGGCAGTATTAGGTTCATTCGTTGAACTGGAATACAAGCTGTAACGCGTATTCTTTTTTTTCTTTACTTGGCAACTCTGTCTAAACATACGTTTCCCAACTAAAATGAAACTGCACTTAAAATAATATTTATTACATTTAGTCCAATTGACAAGGATTCAAGTTTAGTCAGATTGTAATTAGGGCTTACACCCCCATCTGATAACAAGTTTTACCTACTAGATTTATTACTAGATTATCTTTGTAAATCGAAGATGAAAACCTGTTAAGATTCAAAACTCATTAAAAATGTAGTACACACTTTTTAACCATAAAAATATAGTAGAACGTAGCTGCATATTTCTGCTTTGTAAATATTTAAACAAAAATGTGTTATGATTATGTGTAAAATGCATTCCAGGAATGCATAGATGAAAATCGAGTGAGTTTGAATAGTAACGACGTGAGCCCCGGGCAGAGTAGGGCAGCAAATGTTAGTGCTTCTCGCACCTTTGTGTCCACTAGCCCCGCCTTTCTACCTCCCCTGGACAGTTAAGGGTGGCACACCCAACCACCCACATCCCCCTGCCGGGAGATGAATTCTCGGAATGCATTTCCATCAGGTATGCTTTTCCGTTAAACATTTAATTTGTTTTAATAGTATCTGCCCCAGCTTTGCCCGGGTCACAAAGTACGTTTGATCTGTTCTGTCAAATCGATAGCACTCTTCCTACTAATGTTTCCGTATAGTATAAACTTTTTAAAAATAGCTTTTTAAGTCCGGCCCGCGAGCTGATTCCGGTTACGCTTATTGTGATACTTCAAAACTATTTGTCAGAATTGAATATTGAAAAAGGCAATTTTAATCTACATTAAATTCTCGTGACAACGAACACATTTATTTATCGATTCTTATAAAATGGAATGCTTAGATAAATCTCGAGTGAGATTAAATTCTTAGCAAGAAAAAAAGTATGGATGGGTGAAATATGTATGTTATGTATGTATGTAGTATGGTAGACGGAAAAGAGGTTACGCGTAGAAGAGAGGCAAATAGGAAATGCTGATAGAGATGTATAGAAGAGTAGTAGATACAAGGGCATGTTGATGACAAGATGATGAAGGAACAGCGAACTAATCGCTTATCACCAAGGTAGTACGCATTATGATGACTAGGGATTAATTCTAATGTTCGCCAATTTGGCGAAAGGATTTGCGATCCGAATCTTAAACAAAATTTTAATTTTAATTATTATTTATTCATTAAATAACTTTTCTAATGGTCTAAAGAAGTTATATGATTTTTCACTTAAAAATGACGTCACAGGCCGACAACGAATTTCACCCGCTTCCAATTTACCTATGAAAATTGTAAACATTCGGACAAATTGCGTTTGGGAGTTGCATTGTCATTAGTGCCCGGTAAGACCTGGGCACTTTGTTCTTTGTACATAAATGACGACTTAAATGTCACTTTCTCAACTTAAACGCATGCAATAAGTATTCTTCATATTTGTCCAGGCAGTTTACAAACGGGCGACATTCACGAATAGACGGTAACAACTACATGTCACAAATGAATGGAAATATTGAAACATCATTAGTCACTCGTTCGTACTCATGCTTGCATTGATGTTGCTACATGTTACTATCATAATAATGTTTATTACATAAGATTGTTAAATAATTGTCAGCGAACTGATATTCTTAAAGAAAAAAGTCTCCTCTGAAGAATAAAAATATTAATTCTTTACCTTGAAATGAAATCATAAAAATTCAAAAAAAATGGGACCCACCTGCAAGTATTACCTTTCGGATAAAAAAAGAATTATCAAAATCGGTGCACTAGCGGCGGAGTTATGCCGTAACACACACAACAAAAAAACATACAAACGAATTGAGTGCCTCCTTCTTTTGGAAAGTGGGTCAAAAATTCTTTATTTAAATAAGAAAAAGTTGTACACCCCTGACCAATCAATGTTCTCTCCACTATTAATTTCTTAAGCCGGCTAAATGAAATCCACATTGAAATGTTAATTAAAATGTTCATTTTTAGATCTTAACGTCCGCGCAAAGTACTAAGCTATCATAAATCCAGAGGAGTAATAATTAAAATTAGAACGAACAAAAAAATTCTCAGTCCATTCACTCGTATTTTTAAACATTTCATCATCAATTATCTATAGATTTTCAAAAGTAACTTTTTAATACTTGCATCATTAAAACAGCATTTATTTTATCTTGCCCATCGTTGTCTATACATGCTTTATCTAAACTGCGGTACTAGGCGGACATAAACGGGTAGGAGTAAACATTGCATTTAACTTTTGACACAGAGTTCATATAATCGTACTATTTTTGCTTGTATGTGCTTTCGATGCAAAAGTATTGGTAAGGGTGCCAGATATTTCAAATTGATTACATTAGTAGCATCCACAACTATTAGTATAACTACTATAATATGTTATGAACTACTTTTTTTTATTTTAAACTAGATTTAGCCTACGACTACGTCCTCTTAGATTTAAAAAAATAGGTAGCTTATGTGTTCTTCCAGATTATTCTCTATACCAAATGACGTCGAGATCCTTTCAGCAGCTTAGGCTTCAAACACTTATATCAATCCATCCATCGAAACGATTTATTGGAAAACAACAAATTAAATTCGAAGGACTGTATGTTCGCAAACATTAATTTCATTTTAGTTGTTGGAGTATTGATGTTCGTCTCCCTCGGCACTCACTTTTTCGTTCTGAGAAAGTTTCATTTGTAACAAAGTAATAGAGTTTGCACTTAGCAATTTCAGATCAAATATTTTGCACCGGCGATACATTTTTGTACTCTCGAGCCTTCGCTCTCAAAATGTTTTAAAAATGCAAACTATTTTTTCTCTTTTCAGCCAGCTACTTAGGTGCTTTGTCTTAATAAGAGTTTTATCAAGAAATATTAAAAAAAATGCCAATGGAAACCTTTAGAGATATTCTAAATTTGCATGGAAACATTTTATTATAACACTAGCTATCGCCCGCGACTCCGTCCGTGCGCAATTGTTAAAAAAACTTATGCAGTCTTCGGTGCCAATTTTCATCAAGATCAAATGAGCCGTGCTGGTGATAGCTTTTAACCATCCATCCATACATTTAAGCTTTTGCATTGAACATTAGTATAATATTGAGAAGGTCCAAGGTCGCTGAAAGAATGGGGTGGGGTGGATGTTTTAAGCCCCATGTTTTTGACTGACTTGAGATGGAGACTCAAATTATTAGAAGTTAAGAGTCGTTACGCCACTCTAATTAGTTGCTGAAAACTTATTATTTTTCATCTGAATAATTATAATGTTAAAGGTTTTCTCATCTATTTGGTAGATATTTTAATGGATTAGTTTTTTAGACAACTGTTAATCAGAAAACTCTGTTAAAAAGTTGTGCCACTTTGATGTTCACCTCCGAAATAATTGCCTTTATTTTTCAACTAGATACTAATTATAGAAGTTAATACATATTTTATTAAATGAAGTATATGAGTATGAAAGATATTAATACCTATTTGTTTTGATTACTTTGTTTACGTTGAATCGAACATTCGAGTTAACTGCATCATTTTATCTTGATACATAACTACATTGTTGTACTGTCTAGGCTTGATGCGAGGTGGGACGGAATTCCGCATCATCATCCGCAAGTACGGAACTTCCATAAGAAATGATAACTCCGCATCCGCATCCGTTTCCACTTCCGTTATTTGTTATGCAGAGTTATAACGGAGGTTAATTTACGTCTTTAACGCGAGTAGGGCGTGATAGGTCAACTAACTATAATTGTTCCATAATATTTGCATAATAAACTATATCTTGTAGTTATGTACCAATCTGTATTTTGGTTTAACGTAGTTTTATTTTTTATTTCTTTAATAATTCGTAATTAATATTTTATTATTGACCTCTGCTTCCACTTTTGTTAACCTCCGCTTCTGCAGAGGTGAAGCCCTTCGCCCCGGTATCCGCATCCGCTTCCGTTAAAATGGCCTCTGTTACAACCCTAATACGAAGTGATGAGGGTCACTTTCGTCCGATGTTGTACTGCAAGTCTACTATTTCCCTGGCAACAAGCCACGACTATTTCCGACTCTAGACTAAAGCTGTCATATTATCTATCTACATTTTGTTTATTATTATGGCATATGAACATAGCTATATTAATAAACAAATCGCTGCCAAAATTGTGCCTACATCTATAGATAGTATTGAATCGATGTTGAACAAATTGTGCTTTCATATCTATATTATCTGTGACAAGTTAGTTGACCTTTCGAACAGTAATGCTCGGCACCTTACGTCGGGGTCAATATTTAATATCTACTCTAGATATGAGAACGTTTGAAGGTCACGTTATTGTTTACTTTATTGTTGGGAAATGGATAACTATAGTTACAACTAAATTTTAAATGTAAACTTGAATATTTGCCATTTTCAGACAATATCATTACGTGAAAAAAAGATTAAAAAAAAGAGTTTTTATTCAGTAAATTGGCGCTTACCATCCTTAGATTAAATCAACACTTAACAGATGGGATCGTGGTCATGCGCCGGCGCACCATAAGCCATTATTCAACATAAATATATTTTCTAAATGATATACAATTGCGAGATTGCGACAAAATAATCTCCAAGGGAAAGTCTGTCAGTTTAGATACATAGTATCTACTTCCGAAAAGATCGTTTCCTCGGACGTCATCGCATACAGATAGAGTTGATTAATTAATAGCCTAGTCAAGACAAGTGTTTGTCAGTTGGCTTGCATAATTCGTGCAACAATATAGTTGCAAATAACGCGATTTGCAGTTATTAGCAAGCACGGGCGAGGTGTGGTGAGGAGCGGTGAGGGGCGTGGCGGGGGTCAGTGCGCTAGCGGCTAGCGATGCACCCTTGCTGCGCAGTAGCCCGCCGTCGCTCAACAAGTGCGCACATTATGGAATGGCCGTGGGACAAATGGCCACTAGCGCCTGAAGACACGTGTTCGAGTTCCTGTGAAGAGCATAAACAGCGACCGGCGCCAAAACCGCCCGATCCAGGCGGACCTGCGCACGCGCAGCCTTATCCAAATCAAAGTTTACCCTACCCGTTTTACTCACCGACCGCGATGGACCCTCCGCCACCCCCCGACAACTTTCCAACCCTTAAAGGGTGAGTATATTGATTAATTTGTTTTGGTTTTGTTGTTTTTTTGCGTTGGAAAACGTGACCTTGACTTTCAAAGTAATGAAATGCCAGTGACATACTTTTAAAGAGGATCACGGATAACTTGTTACTGGATTGGATTTCTTGTAATCTTACTTTATATAAGATACATCACGTTGTGATAAATATCGATTGGTGTATTTAAGAGTAAATTTAAATAAATTGTTGAAAGGCAAAATGAACATTGATGACAAATGAAGACATTTTTACGCCAAAAAAATGTTGAACAAAATTTTCTTTGTTTGCTATTAAGCTATCTTTATTATACCTTGTACTGTATTACTATAATTTTTTATGATTGTATTTATGTGTGCCAAATAACTGTGAATTGTTTATAAGAATCTTGACCTATCCAAGATAAACATGACGACACGGAAGTATGAAACAATCTCGCGCGTCAACATTCTAGATTCGGGGAATTTACAAATAAAAATTCATAAGCTTGTGAATGTGAAATAAAAATCTTATAAAAATGCCAAACCTTCCGTTCTTATTTAGGCATTGTATTGTTAGCTCATGCATGTCCCTACCGAGTGGCTCGTAACCTACACTTTGTTAGGGGTGATTGGGTCACATTCAACCAGGAAGGTCCAGTGCGTGTTGATGGGGGATGCATGTCGCATCAGGATGTTTTCATTCTACGATCATATTTAGGTGCTTAAAAAAGTGTTACTTGTATATCTCCCGCGTTGAAATTTTAAAAACTTTAATTAAGAGTGTATAGATATATCTCCAAAGATTTAGTTAAGCACTGATTACTTAAATAAGTGTTTTAACACTTTGAACACCGCTAATAAACGTTATGGGAGTCAACGTCGTCTGTAACACCATACATATTTCTATCATTGCACTTCTTTCGGTATAAGATTTGGCAAAATACTATTTATAAGAAAAGATCGGATTTAGTAAACCTACGCATCATTTTTTCATTACCATGATTTGACAAAAGTCTGTATTTGCGTTTCTAATAACGAAAATTGCATTAACTTTTTTTTGTCTGGGTGGGCCACTTCGACCGGACTTTCACTGAAGGGTAGCTGACATAGACGGGCATATTATAGGTTATTTTTTATCTTAATATCTCGTGGACGAAGTCGCGGACAACAGCTAGTCTAATATGTATTTAAAACTCTGTCAGTTTTTATGGACATTTTCTGTATCATCTAGCGATATTAATTAGTTCTTGCATCCAGGTATTATATATGAAACGATAATAATGACTCTGTCAATCCAATCCTTTGTAAAGGTTCACAAAGGATAGACAATAAAGGCAATCTTGTAGAAAGGTACCCGTACGATGTCATACTGCTTGCAGAATTAATAATTTATTCTTTGCTTACTAACGGTCAATTTAGATTTCATATTTATATTTATAAGCCAGACATCTCTGATCGCTTTTTGTTTATTTTTGCTGCTGAACCTGTGCTTTCTTTGAAAATCCCGATCTCTTTTTTAATACCCTAGTTGTATGTACATGGAAGGATTTAGCGAGTCTCGTATATTTTCGATCTACCCTAGTACAATAAAAAGTGTTAGGTCGTTATTTTTGCCTTTTAGATAATAACCTTTGTCTTACTTAAGTTAATAAACACGCTGTACATCGGATAAAAAGGTGTTCCGTTTTCCGTCGTATGAAAATACTTTTTTTTTGTTTTGAAAATGTCTTTATTAGCTTCAGAAAGGAGTTTTTTTTACCGAGCGCGCTGTCTCTTTATTATTGCCTCGATTGTTTGAGAATTTAATTAAAAAGCGCCGTGATATTTTTCAAAGATGCTTGGGAAAATACAAAGGTCATGACGTCCTACGTAGTATGGGTACTTGTACTATGATTAATTAATTTTAGGAACAATACGTGTGTAATTTTTTTTAAGTTTATTAAATGAGTATTTATTTATGTGACGCAACAATGGAAGCAGACGTTATAACATAACGTGGATCAATACGAACTTTTACCGAGAATGCAAGGCCGTCGAGTCGCGATATGAGAAATAAGAAAAAAAAAACAATTCTTAATACGAATTGTAGAGTTGTCACTGTTTACCTTGAAGAGGCATTTACAGATTCACCAGGCTTTAGGTGGACAAAAGATACGCTCAGTCTAAACCTTGTTTAAGATTAACTAAGTTAGGGGACTCTCTCAGGAGAGCCAGATCGGGCCGTTACTTCGTTACTATTACCGGATTGCGATTTCGCCGAGCTTTTAGATCGTTTCGGTGGACGCTTCATGGAATGACTAAGCACAAGAGCCCCCGACAGGGGACCTCGGCTTGGGTTGTCACTCAATGCGCGTTTAGCATTCCGTTTCAATAGTGCACGATTTGTTTATTATTCTCAGCAACCCTTTAAAAAAATAACGCAGGATTTTCCCAAGACTAGTTCAATTAATTTACGGATCTCCGGCTTCTAGCCTACAGGCTATTCACTTTGCCGTCGCGAATCTGAGTTAGTTTCCGTTTATTTTGATTACACTTATAAAACAAGCAAAGCGGATAAAGTTCCTAGACTAAACATAGAGTCTAGGAGCCATAATCTTCTTCTATTTTCTCTACAATTTATCCTCGCGTATACTTTTATGTAATTCTATTCTAAATGTAATATGAACTCCTAAGGACGAGCGCACATCTGTGACTTTTCCCTGATTCCTCTTTGTGCATCCCCGAGAAGACATTAATGGATTGGTCCAACTCTATTACTTTTAAAGCGTGTAAATACATATGACTAAATATCGGCCAGTTGTGCGATTGTCAATTGCTGATTCAATTGTAAACTTGCACAACTAAAAAGTAGTCTGCGCACCTCCATGTAAACTCATAGGAATCAAAGCGCGATTGAGCAATTGTGCGATAGTTTCAAGTATGGGCACGCTCTAAAAGTAATAGAGTTGGGCCAAAATAGTCAATCCGATTTTGTGTACAAATTTGTTTCAATGCAACCAAGATGACATTAAAATAAACTGCAACAGATGGAAACAATTGTATAGAAATTATTTAAATCAATGAAAAATAATTAGTTTACCTATAGCACATCAGATAATAATGTCACGTCACATAAAACAGTTTATTAACATTAACGATAGTAGCATGCATAAACAAGTGATAAGTTATTCGAATCGGATAGAAATTTTATCCAAAGTTAATAGCGGCTCGCGATTTCACACGAGAATGCACAAGTCAATTTTATGTTTCGGCGTATGTAAATTCGGGGAAGGGGTATACCCCTTCCTATCTCCCAGTTTGTGGGCCCACAGTCGTACCTCCGCCCGCAGTCTGTCAACATTGCACCCACCGGCAACCACACTACCATACAACTGTGAAAGCGAATCTAAACCAAAGCGAAGTTTGAAATGAACATTCCATAGTTATGATTAATTTAGAACAACCGCTTTGTAATCAGACTCAGCACACGAAATAGAATCTAGTATGGAGAAAACTGTGAATTGTCTCGTGGTGTGTTACTGGCATTATTTTTAATTTCGAGTATCGGATTTTAAAAATCGTACAACGAACGAGTAGACAAGTGAACGACGAAAAGAGTTTTATCGTGTTCCATTCACTTTGATGTGAACTTTCAAAGGGTATTTCTCTATTTCCACTCGACGAACGTCACCATTGTATTTCCACTTCAACATGTTCCGTCCGTTCATTGCGAAAAAATCCAATAATTAAATCAGCTTTCCACTGAATCGTTTGAAATAAATAATTGTTCGGATGTTTTTCCTCTATTTTTTTTCTATTACAATACATTTATTCGAATGAAATTTACATACACTACCGACACATGTTACATTATGAGTCTATTGTTTTTGAACATAATTCTCGTAGCGACGCATTCAAATTCCTGAATTTATGAAACGTATATCAATTTTCATTTATGATATTTTTTTCTGTAGATGATTTACGTACGAATTTCTCGATTACAAAATATTAATATAAAATAAGTATATTTTGTGATGAACTTATGTCATAAGTGAGATTGAAATTTTAATAAAACGCGCCTCATTCCCTGTTTTACTGAGGTTGACTTAGTCGTAGTAACCCTTAATTTAGGGCTGCCACGTGCCCTTTGACGCTGCGCGGTCGACGAGTAAATGAAGTGGGCTCTTTATTTGTTAATATTTATTTTATTAGTTTTCGTATAAAGAAGTTATTAATCATTTTCAACGCGAAAATGAAAATTACTACACATATTAATTTATGCACATTATTGGCATTATGTACGCAACTATTCACATACGCATACACGCCGGTACTGAAGATAAGAATGTACTAAGCATATACACAAATATAAACACGCTCGTTCTGTGATAATTGAAATTATAATTTCCATTGGAGTGGCACTCGCTTAACAGACAACTATCATTATAATACGAGTATAATATTAGCTGTACCAGAGCGGCTTTATCGACGTAAAATTATAATAACTTTATTTAATTTTTTACATTTGTCAAATTCTCAATTGTAAATTTTAAAATTCAAATGCCCAAATGATAACGAAGGTCTGCCATTTGATAACAATTACCGTTACCATAATAATTTGTACCGTTACCATAACACCTTGTAATTAATGGCCCATTTCCCACATGAAGGTTTTTTTCCAATTTATTTACCCCCTAACTTTAATAGTGATAAAATATAAAGCATAAATCGTGTTATAAGTACAGGGCTTTTTATTATTCAAAAACTTGCTGCGGTTGCTGACATCATACGCCACAAAGTGGTGTTTGTTTACTCTTTATTATATTTGTATAGACGAGCTGTCGCCCGCGAACTTCAATAGCGCATTTTTTTAAAGTCATCTGTCACATTCCTGTGACAGCAATATTTAAGACAAAGTCCCAACAAAACTGACCACCCTCTACGCCATTTTGACAACGCGGAATTTAAAAAAAAGTAGCCTATCCATGTCAGCTATCCTCCAGTGAAAGTCTTATCGAAACCGGCCCAGCC